GGGCTGGGGCTGGGGCTCAGTGGTAGAGGGCCTGCCTTGCACGTGTAAGGCTCTGGGTTGGATCCTCAGCACCACATACCATCTATAACTAAAAAAATAATAAATATTTACAGTGACAGAGCCTGGATTTGAAACCAGTCCCCTCAGATTCCTCTCAGTTTGTGTTCACCTGGCTTTGAATGTCCTGGGTACTAGGCCATGTCTTTGCCTTCCAGATGGCAGTACGGTTCTTACAGGGATAGCTTCTTCACCAGCTTCCGCTCTGCCTCCAAGTAGGCAGGGCCCTCGTGCGGCAGGTCAGCCATGACGTGGGGCCAGGGGCCTGGCATTTGGAGGAAACAAGCACATGGAATGCAAGGATCACAGCTGCAGCAGTCAGACAGGGCAGAGCCACCTGTGTGTACTTCCGTGGGTGGTTTTAAATGAAGAGATGGCAGACACTCGTCCATGTGACTCAGCTTGCTTTGCTCTCCTGTCTCCTGTCATTAGTGGAGCCAGGTGGCATCTGGAGTGAGAACCTGTCCCAGGGCTAGGTGGAGGTGGACAGTGAAGTCCAGGAGACGTTGGTAGCCTGCTGTCACCGAGCACACCTAGGAGGGTGTGGCCCTGGTTCAGGAAGCAGCCAGGAGCTGCCCAGTGCACGGGCACACAGAAGACATACCGACATGCCCCCTCCAGACAGCTGCTCATCGGTCAGCTTTGGACCTCCTGTGTTACATAAAAATCTGTTCATGATATTATTTCAGGACCTGTGTCTCCCTGCCTTCTGCTCACTCCATGTTCATAGTTAGAGCAAACTATCTGATCACACGGAGGACACAGCTTGCCTGGAGACAGGACTGCCTCTGTCTCTGATCAGCTCTCTGTGGTTGACACTTGCTAGTCCAGGGGGATCAGGAGGAAAGCCAGGCTGTCACTGGGTTTTGTCTTCTCTCAGTTGTCTGCTCTCTGGCCCTCCTGCACACTCCCTTCTCCTTAACCCACACCCTGCAGTTTAGCATCATCATCAAGCCACTGTTTGAGTCCTTCAAAGGGATGGTGTCCACTGGCAGCCTGGAGGAGCTGCACCAGACAACACTGTCCTGGCTGGACCAGCACTGCTCCCTGCCCATCCTCAGGCCGAGTGAGTGGGATGGTTGATGCTGGTGCCGGAGGGAGGGAGGGAGGGAGGTGTGTAGCTGGAATCAGTGCTTAGGGGATCCTGCCCGCAGTGCCGGGGGTGGGAGGATGATGCCATACAAGAGGCCCTGAGCCAGCAAAGCTACTGCAAGGGCAATGTGTCTGCCAGTCTGCTCCAGTCCAGTTTTTTTTTTTTTTTTTAGAATTTTAATATTTATTTTTTAGTTATCGGCGGTCACAACATCTTTGTATGTGGTGCTGAGGATCGAACCCGGGCCGCACGCATGCCAGGCGAGCGAGCTACCGCTTGAGCCACATCCCCAACCCATCCAGTCCAACTTTTGTTATTGAGCACCTGGTATTTGCTAGGTGGCTTTAGGGGCTATTGACTATTGTTTAATTCAGGGTATAGGCAGCTTTTGTGAGGACTGAGGCTAGCAGGGTCTGGGCCAGGGCCTTGCCCACAGTCCCCCCTGCACTTGGCTCTGGACTGTCGTCTTTATGCCTGAAAAGCATCCTGTAGGGTCTCACCTGTGAAGTCACGTGCTCTGCTGTTGTGGGTCGTGTCCCCAGGCTAACTTGCCCTTTGTCTTCCAGTGGTGTTGAGCACCCTCCGGCAGCTGAGCATCACCACCTCTGTTCTGACAGACCCGTCCCAGCTGCCAGAGCAGGCATCAGAAGCTGTCACCAGGATTGGCAAGAGATCGGGGGAATCCTAGCCACCTAGATGGCATATGACCTCATGAGATGCCTGGAGACCTGACCTGTCCCCGCTCTTCCTGACGCAAAGCCTTGGGCCTCCCTCTGCTCTACTGGCTGTCAGGATGCCACGCTCAGGGCCTGCCTACAGCGATAGCCCATCTTGGGAACCCCTTGCTGTGACCTCCCTCTCAGCAACCTCAGTCACCAACCTCCCTGCCCACAGGGCAGCTGGACAAAGGGAAAAGCGCCTTTCTAGTCCTAACCTGCTGGTGGCCCATCTGGGTCCTGGACCAGTGAGTGAAGCAGATGGGACAAGGAGACAAAGCCTGATCCTGCTGGTGGGAAACCTCGCGGGTCCCTCTGAGTTCCTGTCTTGAGACTTCCTGCTCCTCCACCCTCGGCTCCCTGCGCTCCTCTGGTTATCCTGCCCGGGGCAGGCAGAGGACTTATTCCTGCCTCTGACCCTGATGGCGCCTGGCCCTTGTGGGTGACCTGGGCTTCTGTTCCAACTGTGGCTTGGTGGGCTGCCCTCTTCCACCCCACAGGCTGCTGGGGAAGTGCCTTCCTCGCAGACCCGTAGCACACAGGCCCAACAGAGGCGCAGAGCATGCACAGCATCGCCCAAGCGACTGCTCAGCTCAGAGGCCCTCCAGCTGCCTTGTCAGTTGTGTTTGGTCCACCTGGTGTTGCGTTCTCCTCAGTGCTGCTAGGGACCTGGCCCAAGGCCTGTGGGGGTCCTCTTACAGCTGAGGCCTCTGCCCTGATCCCTACCTGGTGGCAGAAAGGGAGGCATGCCCAGGGAAGTTTCCCTGAGTTCTGGCATGCAAAAGGCCCAGGCCTTGCTGTGTAGTCAGCTGGCCGTCTTGTCTAGTGGGGGTCAGCTGGGATCCCGAACAAGGGCAGGTCTTAGACCATATGTCAGCATGCTCAAAGTCCAGCCCGTCTGTGTTTGGGGAGGAAGCTAAATGCTGAGAGGATCACCTCAGAGCTATCTTCAGATGTCCCCAGGTGAGACATGAAGGACTGCACTCGGATTTGGTACAATGGAGGTGTGGCTGGAGGTGGCAGGCATCCAAAGGTTCAGGGGTCCTGAGTGCACGCTGCAGCTGGAAGGGATGAGGAAGGACAGCTGCAAGTGGCTGTACCTGAGTGCTCTCCCCAGCACTCAGGTTCCTCCTGGGAAGAACGTGCTTCTCTGATCTGCTGTGAGGATCAGAGCCGCCTTTCAACCCAGGCCTCCCGCCTGTCCTCGCCCTCATGCCTGAAGGAGTCACCTGAGGAGGAAGCCCTGGGATGCCCCTAAGTTCCACCCAGGCAGAGGCAGGGGTTCCAGCTCCACCTCAGCCTTGGTGGATGGAGGACAGAGAAGGGGGTGTTTCTTTCAGCCACTGGCTGAGCCACCATCTCTGTAGTGGGCCCTAACCAGCCATCTGCTTTCCTGTCTGCACTTCTGCCCCGTGTAGAGCAGCTTGGTGGCACCCCTTAGCCACCTCAAAAAACATGTTTACAGGCCGAGGGGTGAGCAAGGCATGTGGGGGCCGGTGCTTTGTATTCCACTGGGAAATGGTAATGGAATCGATCCCTTACCCCAGGATAAATTCAGAGTTCCCTTTCAGAAGTTAAGACCATATGTCAGCATGCTCAAAGTTCAGCCCGTCTTGTGTTTGGGGAGGAGCCCCACCAGGATCAGAAGGGAGAGAGGACAACCAGACATTGCTGGGAGGGCCTTCTGGGGGACCCAGGCCCAGCCCTTCCCACTCCTGTGCCTTGTAACCTGCAGGTGATGTAGTGGTGGCCAAGGCTCTCCTGATCAGGGGGCTCCCACCCCTACTGGGGAGGAACTTTAAGAAAAAAAAAAAAAGTGGGATGTGAAATCATCGGCCTCTTGCTTCATGGCCTACCTCTCTTTTGCTGAATTTACGTTCATGATTCAGCTAAGGCTGTTGGGTCCCGTGAGACCGGAGCGGGCGTGTGAGCGTGTGAGTGTGTGCGCCCTGGTGGACTTAGCTGGATGCCCATTTCTGTCTGGGGCTAACTTTAGTCTCTTGGTGCCTCTGCTTGCTGTGGCTGTAAGGCCGAAGTGTCGTGTCTCTGCTCCACATGGGATTGTCTCATGACCTGGGAATTTTCTTGGTTTAGAGTCTTGCCTGATGAATCTGGCCAGATGGAAGGGCCTGCCCTTGACCTTTGTCCTGGGCTCCCTGGCTGGCGTTTGGGGCAGCTGAGGCCACGCTGCTGCCAGCAGCCTCCCGTAGCGGGAGCTTGTTTATACACCTTCCCACCCCATTCCTGTCCCCAGCCCCTGTCAATGCTGACACTTTGAAGAGGAGAAAATTGACCTGAAAAGATAAAAACAGAAGGACGGCAGGCTTGACAGTCTCTGAAAATGTTTCTGTGAAATCTTCCGAAGCCATCAGTGCCCACATGCTGCTCATTCTTTCGCTATGAGTGGGAGACCACGGACGGGGCGGGTGCAGCCAAGGGGCTTTCTGAGAGTTGGCAGCAGGTCACACTCTGTCACCTTCCTGGGGCCCTATGGCAAGTCAGCTGCAGTCCAGTGGTTTTTCACTCAGAAGTCAGCACCGATGACACACTGGGTCTAGTGAAAGAAGGGTGGAGGGCTGTGGAGCCCAGTCCAGCCCCTGTCCCCTGCCACCCACAGAGGAGAGTCAGTGGCCAACGAGCCTCCGTGCTCTTGTGACCCGGTTTAATCCCATGTGCTGTACTGGGGTTCTGACCCCTCCCCTCTTCCATAGCCTGGGCCTGAATGTTTCTGTGCCATGGCTGAGATGACCACTTGGATTCTCAGAGGACACAGTGCCCAGACCCTAGTTGCTCCCAGTGAAGGAGTGAGGTGGCTGGTAGCACTGGGCTGCCTGTTGTCAGAGCATCCTGGGGTGTGTGAAGGGTCACAGGTCCTGGCCCATGGGCTTACCCAGCCTCAGCCCAGGGCTCAGCTCTTCTCCCCACTGGCTCCCAGATGGGCAGGCTTGGAGGGGACATCACCCCTCCTTGCTTTCAGAAGTCCCTTCCCTTTGTCCTCATCTGACCCTGGGGATCCCTTTCCCTCTGCTGAACAGGCGCATGAAGGTGCGAGTGGGGCCTTTCTCTACACTGGGGAATCTGGCCTCTAGTTAGAAGCACCACTGCCAGTGACGGCTTTACAAAGTATCTTCCTGCGGCCTCTGCAGGGGGCAGTGTTTGGGGAGCTGCCCACTGGGACACTCGGAGCAGCAGGATGTGGCTTCAGACCCTGTCCCCTCAGTCCCTGTTAGTATTAAAGAAGACTTGAACCATGTCTGGCCACGTGTAGGGGCAGGACAGTGAGGGGAAATGGAAGAGCTCAATAGCAGTCTTGACATTTGGACTGTCTGGTAGGCACCTTGGCCACCACCTACAGGCCACCTTGGGGTAGGTGGGCAGCTTCTCAAAGGCTCTAGGAAAAGGGGGTGGCCTTAAGAAACAACCCTATCCTGTGCCTCCTGCAGGGCCAGCCATGGGGGTGGGTGAGGCTGAGGACAGGCCTCCTCAGCTCACCCGACTGGACTGCTTGTTGCCACATGCAAAAACCAACCTTCAAGAAAGAAGGGAACTTGTCACATTGAATGTAGACTTGTGTGTGTACCCACACTTGCACAAGCCTGCGTGTGTGCGTGTGTGTGTGTGTTTACTTCATGGAATTTTTATAAAATTCCTTTCCAGTTATTTAGCAGAACTCAACCTCCATCTCGCCTTCAGACTTTGGATCCACAGTCATCCTGGGCGAAGCAATTTGAAGAGTTAGTTCTCTTGGGGTTTCCTAGTGAAGATCTGGTGAGGGGTGGGAGACACCGAAGTCACACATTTCCAGAGTTTACATCCTGCAGGGAGGAAGGCCTGAAGGGCTCAGCCTGTCCCCAGGCCGCCTTCCTCCAGGGGTGCCCTATTTGAATCTTCACCGCCCGCCCTGGGCCAGCGGGCTCACCGGCTTGTTCTGCTACTCCACGGCCATGGCTACAGCATGTTCTGTTCTTTTCCAGGTTTCAGTTATTATGTACATGGCTGTTTTTTTTTTCTTTTTTTTTTTTTTTTCTGTTGTGAACTTCAGTGACTGCAGGGCTCCTTTGAGGAGGTGGTTACACCTGGGGGTATGAAAATCCAAACCAGGAAAGGGTCTGGTTTGACCAGAAGCTCCTTCTGTCCCCATCACCCCCAGCACGGCCCTTTGACACTCTGCTGTCGAAATGCGTTTCCACCAGCTGTATTCAACACTACAATGCATTTTTTAAACTATATTTGCATTCAAGACAATAAAAAAAAATCTTATTTTTTTGAAAAGCTGTTCTGTGTGGCCTTCAATGCTGCCTGTTGAGCTTCGGGCAAGGCGAAGTGAGGAGCCAGAACATTGGGAGACAGCGATTCAGCCTGGAGAGGAGGCTTGGGTGTGTGTGGGGGGGGGGGCAGGGGGGTTGAAGGTCCTGTGCTTTAACAGCTGCTCCCTCCCTAACCCATCCAAACTTGGTCTTCTCCAAATTATGCCCCCAGCACCTTTTAAGATTGCACATACCATATGGTACTGGGCTCAAATCAATGAGAAGAACAAAACAGACACCTGTTGCTTAGCTCAGTGGAAACCAGGGTCCTCCAGCCCATAGGAATCTGCAGCCCATCGCCTTTCTCTGCAGGGTGCTGGTTCTCAAGGCCCAAGGTCCTGCTTTGTGTCATGAAGACTCTTCCCTGGGGGAGTCCTGAGGATCTCATCAAACACAAGCCTCTGCATCAGCCCACTGCGTCTCAAGTCAGGGATTCAGATTTGCACCACTGTCCTGTGAAACAAGCCAGCAGCTCCCTACAGGCTGGCTCCCTTATCCGCCACCTGTGCAGGCAGGTGGAAGAAGAAGGTGTGGAAGAAGAGAGTGCAAACTAGAGATGACAAAAACCTCCGCACCTGAACACAGGGAGACTCTGAGGCTCAACTTCCCAGTGTTTATTGTCTAAGGCATTGGATCAACAATTAGCAGAAAGACCCATGTCTTGGGGCCATTGCCATGACAAGGAGCCTTTTCAGTGCTGGGCCAGTTTGGGCTGCGCTGATGGTGACCTACACTCTAATCCCAATGGTCTTTGGACAGGAGTCCCCAGGCAAAATCCTTCATGGCAGGGGTTTGTCACCTACCCTGTGAATGCAGGCTTCCTTGGGACCACTGTCTTTCTGGACACCCCTCCAGGATGCCCTGCCCACCCACCAGTTGCCAAGCTCAAACCCGGAGGCCTGAGACCCCTCTTCTCCCTCCCTCATCCCCCCGATGCCAAGAGCTTCTCAATTTCCTCCAAATCCATCCTCTCTCCCCATCCCACTGCCATTGGCACCCAAGTTGCCAGCTGCCCTGGGAGCTCCAGCCCATCATCTCAGCCCCTCACGCTGAGAGCTCTGGGGCAGAGTCTAAGCTCCTTGCTCTTCTGCTGGGTCCTTCAGGGCTTCCCAGGGGCAGCCTCAGGCTCTAACATAAGCCCTGCCCCATCCCGCCAAGCCCGGCCCTGAAGCTTCCCCTCCAGTGCACATGTGTGGGCCTGATGTCAGGCCCCAGCGCCCTGAGTCCCCAGGACACTGTTTGTGATTATTCAGTTTATCTTCCTTTTATGACAAGGGCCCAGGGCCTGGCACCCAGCAGAGAACTAGCACATGGCGGGGGGCCAGGTAACTATGGAATGAACTCAGCCCCAGAGCTGCCTCATGCCCTCAGAAAGGTGGAGGGGGGCAGGGAGGTGGGAGCCAGTAGGTACAGACGTCAAGCTAAAGAAGGCACTGAGTCCTAAGATGATATGTCAATTCCAAATTTCAATAATTTGGGTTGTAGATGTAACAATAATCTCCAAATGGCATTAAAAGCATTCCATGTTTTATTTATTTCTTTATTTGGTACTGGGGATTGAACCCAGGGCTATTTTACCATTGAGCTACAATGAAGACTGAGCCCAGTCATTTTTATTCTTATTTTGAGACCTCAAACTTTCAATCCTCCTGCCTCTGCCTCCCGATCTGCTAGGATTCACAGCATGCACCACTGTGCCCTGAGAAAGCTCTTCATTCATCTTCATGTAGCCTTGGTTCTGTGGACCTCAGTTTTGCTTCTTATTTTTGGTAGCTCTTTTTATATATTAGGATTTGACTTTAAGCTTATGTAGTGTGATTTTTTTTTTTATCTTTTTAGTTCTGAAAATCTCCAGTACACCCTGAAGTAGAGAATGCTATGGTGGTGAATCATCATCCACTTTAACAACAGTCTACTGCGGGACAGTTTTGTTCCATTTATACCTCAGCCCTACCTCCGTTTTTTCAAAGCAAATCCTAGGCACAGTATGATTTCACCCATCAATAGCAAATGTGCTTTTTTATACCACTTCCAGAATTGTATAGATTCCTGCAGAGTCCGTCATTAAAAAGTTCCCAAAGGCTTTGTGAGAAGCTATAGAAGTCACCCTCAGTGAGAAACCTGGGGAATGGGGTGTAGTAATTGATCAGATTTTCTGTTTTGCTGAATCATTAGCTAGAAAACCCTACTGTTTAGCGAGGGGAAAAGCTTTCTAAGATAAGAGTCTACTTTCCTGCCTAAGTGGGCATGGTACAGCAACAGCCTAATCTCTTAATCTAGTCTGACTGAGCTGAGCTCCTGGGGGAAGGGACCCAAGGGCTGCCTGGTTCTGTGACTGTTGTGTGGTGGGAGAGGCCCGAATGAACCCCACCCTCATCCCAGACTGGTACCAGCTCCTCCCGTGGCCGTCCCTCCCATGGCCGGTCCTCCTTGTCCAGCTTTTCCTCTTTCCGCTCTTGGTCCTTTGATCAAGACTGGCTAAGTTTGAGCGAGGTCAGGGAATCAATGGTATCGAATCTGAGCAGTGGGCCTTGTGAGACCCCAGAGGAGCCAGAAGGGGGCGTCTGGGAACAGCCCTGTGGTAGATGGCACCTGGGCCAGAAGCCTTCCGGCAAGCAAAGGAGCCCAGCGGAGGAGGCACTGGGGAGGCCGAGCCCCAAAGGGAAGGGCAGACTTCAAAGGAAGAGCCGGTTACCAGCCTTGCACGCTGTGTCTTACGTTTTCCTAGATCCTGTCCCTTTACCTCCCCGGGGGGCCTTTCCTTGTTCCTTATCTGTCCTGTCACAATTTCCTTTTTTCCATTGACTCATTCATCTCAAATCTCCCTTAAGTCCCTCTCCCAACCAAACTTACTGTGAAGTGGGCTCCACCCTCTCTGCGACCTTTAGCCTCCCCTGCCCAAACCCTCTTCATCCCCAAATGCTCTGTATCCCATGGCAGCACCCAGCTGCTCAAGCCAAGCCCCCCACCCGGCCTGGAATCCTCCTCCCCTTCCCACGCTCACCCCATTGGTGGGTCTCCCCGTTGCTCCCTCAAAAGGGCACAGTCCACCTCTCCTGGCCATCCCCACGGCCTCTTGCCTGGACACCTTCAGTGTCCTCCATGCTTCCCTTCCTGGGCTCGTCCATCAATTCGCCACCCATGAGGCCAGAATGGTCATTCTTATGACCCTTGGGATGGTGGCCTTCTGCTCAAGCCTCCTGGGGCTCCCAGTGCCCTCAGCACAAGATCCCTCATTCACCAGGAGGCCTGGGTGCGAGATCCCGCTCCAGCCTACTGCAGATTAGAATGGTGCCCGCCTGCGACTTTGGAGACGGGATGCACCAGGGAGACCTGAGCATTGTGGGTAGCAGGTCTTGTCACTTCTAATTTCTTGACTCTACACCTGATGAATTTCATCTTTCATGTTTCTTCTTCTTGCTAAAGCCACCCTTCGGGCCACCATCCTTGGTGGCACCTGGAGGCATTCCTGAGTTCCCTCAGCAGCCTGCCCTCCGCTTCTCATCTGTAAAAGAGTGTCACCAACAGTGGTCCCATCTCATTCTGTGGATGTGACTGGCACTGGCCAGGGTCATCTCCTAACAGACTCCTCGGCTCTGATCCACCAGGGTCAGGGAGCTGCCACGGCTTGTGAACACCCATCCCTTCCGACCCCACCCTTTCCCGCCCACCCCAGCATGAGCACTCCAATGCTGCTCTTCCAGGGGAAAGCCCTTGCCCAGCGCTTGGGACAATACCAGCTTCATCTCCCGTCACCTCTGGGCTCCAGGTTCCAGCATGGCATGCTGGCCACATGCTGCATGTCTTCCTTACCTCTGCCACCAGTCCCTTCCCCACCCTGAAGTCCTGGTGCTTTCTCCTGCTCCCTATGGTCTGCCCTGGCCCGGCCCACCCAACCTTGGACTTTGAACTACTACCGGTAGTACACCATTTCTGTCACCCATGTCACATGCCATCTTCTGCCTGGTGATGTAATTCAGTGCCACCTTCACATCACCATCTTGCCTTAAGGACAAGGACATCTCATTTTATCAGCCATCTCGCCAAGCATGCAGCTTTTGCACCCTGAGTACTTAGTAAGGTCATGATTTAAATCACATCTACCACTCCCTGCTGGGATGATGCAACGGGCCATGAAGCAGGTGCTATTATTACCCCCACTTTAGAGATAAGGAAATTGAGGCTGAGAGAGTTACATAACTGCCCAGCATCACTACTGCTGATCTGAGCTGTAGTCCCGGGGCATCTGACCAGAGCCCAGTCCCCGCCCCCTGGCAGCAGCAGACAGTGGGGCATCCCATTGCCATTGTCCCATACTTATATTTAAAAGACCCTACAAAGCAGGCGTGATTTCCTCACTTCACACACAAGAACCAAGCCTCACCACTCATCCTTAGAACACTCAGCCAACCAGGAGCAGAAGGGAACTTCCTCAGCCTGATAAAGGGCTTCCAGGAAAAACCCACAGCGGACACCACGATGCTGAACAGCAAAAGACAGAAACTTTCCCCCAAGATCAGGAGCAAGACAGGGATGTCTGTTCCTATCTCTTGTCAACATTGCTGAAGGGTCTACCCAGAGCCCTTAGGCAAGACATAGAAATAGCAGGCGATTGGTTTAGGAAGCCAGAAATAAAGCCAGTACTCTCATCTAAGTCCTAACCAGGGCTGACGAATTTCATCTTCCTTGCTTAGTTGCTTAGGTCAGATGGGAGCGGGTGCATTCAGGGTTGTATGGCCGCAGACAACTCTGTAAATGTGTACATGACCTGATTCTCTATATAGGAACCGTAAAAGGATGCATGCACACAAATGCCCCTATGAGAGCCAGTGAGTTCAGCAGAGTTGCAGGAAACAAGACCAATATACAAAAGGCAGCTATACTTCTGAACACTATCAATAAACAACCCAAAAATAAAATTAAGAGTTCCATGTACAATACCATCAAAGAGAATAAGATCCTTAA